ATTAGAATAGAAAACAAAAAAATTATAAACTAAAAGATTGGAAATGAGAGTCGATCAATTGTTGCATCTATTAGCTAGTTATTGCACTTTTTAAGTAACCAATAGCTTAATATTCTTTGTTAACATCGACATAGGAGCCTTCACTTCTGCTCAAATATTATTAATCTAAACAGAGATTTATTTACTAAGAGCACATTGATAACCGAAGTGCATAAAAACTTTAGTAGCAACGGTCTCATATGCTTTTGGACAATGCAAAACCAAGGGTTGAAGCTATCTGGGCTTTCCCTTGCTTTCGATGTCTCACTTGTGAAGTCTCATCCATAAAGAAATGCTTGAGTGGGCGAGGCCTAATTAGGTGGTCTTTCCCTTGCCATATTGTCTCTGCTGCTTGTCTCTGTACCCCTTGTGTATAATGGAACGAGTCGAACCATACGTGTGTGGTGGCGTTCCGGCACAGATGGTAACGTTTGGGATTATTTCGTCCACAAGTTCTCAGGCCCCGAAACCGCCCGCATCCGCAACAGGCATTCAGTCCATCAAAGAATCCTGTGACATGGTTAAGTCCTTTCATGGTTATTGTGTATTTGAAGTGGAAGTTTTTTATATTTTTCACCAAGATAAAAAAGGAAATAAACCAGTTTGTTTGGTTTATTTGAAATAAAGTTACAAGGTTTTTAGTTCTTGAGTTACAACATCGAGTTTTGGATGTGTAAAGGGTTAAGTTCGTGGTGGTAATAGCCCAACACCCTAATCACCATGTTGTGGTTTTCATTGCCACTAACATCATCCCACTAACACATTAAAAAACTAACTCCAAAACTATTTCAAAAAAGTGGGTAGAGGCGTGTCTTCCCCTATTGAATTACCCAAAAGGTCCATTTCGATCGTTATTCCCATGGAGCAAAACGATCCACATGGTTGGAATAGTTTGGGCCCCATTTTGGGTGGAGGGCCTTATTTTCATAATGGTTCTAATCATTCTACCCTACTGATGCGTTAGCCCATTACATCCAAAATCCCTAATAGTCTTGAACTAAGGCGCAACTCCTTCATATGCTTTTCCATTAGTGACATGCACATGCCTCTACACAGTGGTTAAAGCAAGATAGATATAAATTGGATGAAGTTTCTATAAAGCCTAAGCTTTATGAAAATAAAATAAAGCCTCACTTCAAATCCTCCTTTGGAGAGCACTTTTGATAATAGAAATTTCTAAGATGGATCTAAAATCAATTTCTAATACCGACAATTTGAAACTCAAAAAGTAATATAGATCTTATGGATCTATAAACACTTATTTTTAAGGTGAAATAGACGGTCTAGATAATTTGTTATAATATACAATATTTTTAGAGCTTAAAATCTTTTTTTTTAACAACAATAATGTTCAAGCCAAGAAGATCGATGTAAAGGTTTTTCAATGCTTGAATTGTACTTTTCGATGAGTTATGAGGTGAGGCTTTATTTATCTTGATAGGGCTAGAGCCCTAACAAATCATTTTCCATATAAACATTCACTTTAGTCTTTTGACTTACTATATCAAACTTGATTGCTAATAAGTATTGGCACAAAAAGAACTCACAAAATTATAAAATAATTGAATAACTATATGCTTGCATGCTACCATATATCACATTTATTTCTGATTTATTGTTAACTTTTTCAGAATGAAATGCTCTATACTGAAACTACAAATATCAAAAGACTAACCATATTTTATGGGGGTTTGGGTCCTTGCGTTAATGAACTTGAATTGGTCGAAGAGGGTGTACTGAAACCCCACCAATTTGGATGCAAAGCCCATTAAGAGTTGCTCCAGAGCCATGTTGTGATATTCAGTGAGATAAGTAGCAGGAGCAAAGCATGAGCCATCATTTGTCATTAAGCGCATACCCGGCATGCATCCTGTGTCCTTCAGTGACATGAATAGAAACTTTCTTGCTCCATGATTGTATAATACCTGAATGATAAATAATACACGATCAGAGGGTTAGAGAAAGAGAGATTTGTTTTTCAAATAAATAAAAAAAAGAAGAAAAAAAAAATAGAAAAAGAGAGAGATCACTGTTTAGTAATTAGCCCACTTATAGTAAGTTCGAAGAGTAGGATGACTTTCTCCATTCCATTCCCATTTCTAATATGTTTTCAACTTTTGTTGATCACTTCCTTTTCCCTATATTTATCTCTCTCAGCAATTAGTTGTTAAGATCTTGCTTCCCCCTCTCTCATCTTTATTGTTAATTGATGGGATTTAAAGGTCGGTTTTGTATCTTCTCAAGAATTTTGAATTTTTGTGTCCATTCGGTAATCTCTTTAAAGAAGAAAATTCTTAATTTCTCACTCATGGTGCATTGGAATTTCCTAAATCCCCCATCCTAATCTTTCCATCGTGTTACCAAAAAAAATTGCTTGTTCCTATTGTTCGCCTAGGTACTTCTCTTTGTTTTCTTTCCAATCAGAGCCTTAGATCATTTTTGTCAGGTCATGTTCACGCGTGATTGAGTCTGTTGTTATGTTACTTGATCCTATCTGTCTGTCTGCGAGCTGCTAAGCTGGTCTCGGATATGCATAGAGTTTGTTGGTTCTTCCAAGTTCCATTATGTTTTCTCAGCTGTTTTCATGTCTTTGTCAAAAATCTGAAGATTTGTCTATTCTTGAGGCCTACTGATATGATGTTACTCAAGCCTACTCTACTCTTGTTGTCTATTTCTGAAGCTTGTTGATCTACCTCTAATCGAATCTGGTATGTTCTTGCCGTCTGTTTTTAGGCTTGCAGATCTACTATTGCTTGAGTCTGCTGTATTCTTGCCTTCTGTTTCTGAGGCTTGTTGATACACCATTGCTTGAGCCTACCCTATTTTGTTGTTCCTTTGTGGTTGTTGATTGAGCAATCTGAGCATGGTAATCACTGCTGGGAGTGTTGACAAAAGTGTATACGTCTACAAGGTTAATTATAAAAGGTGTATACTATAATTAGTGTATATGGGAAGGGTAGGTGCAATATCCTGTATGTTATATTAAGTTTGAGTATAGTTTAGTTGTTCGACATTTATTCTATTCATGTCATCTTGTATATTCATATTGAATAATGGACATAGATAGTCTCATTAGAGGAACCTAAGACTCTAACAGATTGAACCGGATTATAGTGTATCATTCTTTTCTCTACCAGGGTTTTTCTACTCGGTGGGACTTGACTGAGTACTCGAACTTGGCCCTAAGCTGAGCCGATTACCATAATACTACTCAACTCTATATAAAAAATGATAAAAATATTAAAACTTGTATAAACATATATTAAGTATGTATAACAATTAGAAAAATTATCTCTATACACCCTAATTTGTTGTATGAATTCCACGGCATCATTTTTCTAAAAAAACTTTCAATTGACGCCAAAAGCCAATGAATCCTATTTTGTTACATCTGTATATCCCAAAGAACTTTCAACATGGCACATGCTCTCTCTCTCTGGTTTTCCTCTTTTACCTCTCCGTCTATCTCTTCCTCTAAGCCTCTTTCTCTCTTTATCGCCCCTTTTCCTCTCGCAACCCATCTCTCTCTCTCACACACTCTGCCCATTCTAGTGATGCTTCAATTAGAAGCAAAACCATGGCAACAACCACTCCAATGAGAACCAATCCATTCATGATTGTAGCAATCTAGAAAATTTCAGCAGCTGCATTTCAAGTGGAAGAGAGGATGCCCCTTTAACCTTTGTTGCCACCCATTGAAGCTCTCATTGAATTCTTGAAGAGAGAGAGAGAAAGAGTGATCAGTGGATGGGAAGGCTCAAAGTTGTTTGTTTGTTTCGGGCTTTCAATTCACCAAAAGAATTGAGACGGACTATGAAATTTTTAGGTTTTCTCTGTGCAGAGGCAGGAGAAAGTATTGCAGTAGAGATGGCTGCTAAAGTTGGTTTCATTTTGGTCCTGTGGAGGAGTTGCAAAATTATCTAAAGGAGAGAGAAAGAGAAGGAGGTGGGTTGGGGGGTTGGGGGGGGGCGGGAAAGAGTGTGAGAGAGCGATAGGTTTAGGGGAGAGGGCGTGAAAGAAAGAGAGGGGTTGGAGGAAGAGAGGGACGATGAGAGAGCGAGAAAACCAGAGAAAGAGAGAGAGAGAGGGAAAGAGAAAATTGGAAAACGAGAATGAGAGAGAGCCTGTATCATTTTGGAAGTTGCTTGAGACAAAAATATTTAGCAAATTTGGTTTCATTGGATTTAGGTGGTTAGTAAAAAGACTTTTGAAAAATTTGATTCTGTCGTATATGTTTATATTTGTGAATCATACAACAAATTCGGATCCATAGAGATATTTTCCCTAAAAATTATACATGCAATTTGGATGTGTTTTACATTGATTTACATGTCTTTATTCTCAAATTAATTTTTTTCCTTTCTTTTTTTTAATGTTTTTGAATATCTCCAACTATAAGTCAATAGCTCCTCCATTGCCACTCTCGAGCCTGGATAGGAAAGAAGGAGGATTGTGTTAGGGTTGTAACCACTAGAAAACTTTTGCCTTATTCCTATCAGGAATCATGATCCAACATTATATGCTCGTGCTAGGGCATTCCCGGGAAGTAGTGACTAATGGTTTTACTTATGGTATGGCCCATGATAGAGTGAAATGACGGAACATGATTCATGTAGCCGACTCCAAATAGTAGGGATAAGCTCAAGTGGTTTTAATTCAAGTTTTTTATATAGTTTGCATCATATTTAGATTCATTATACTATTTTCCACTTTAAGTTATGTCACTTGGTGTGACGGTAAAAGGCTCAGGTAGCCAGCATAAGAGCGCAAGTTCGAGTCTTGAGAGCGGCCACTTCGTGCATAAAAGGCAAAAGGTTATGACTGTATTAAGCCCACCCCTCTCAAGACCTTGCGTAGGCGGGACTAGCACCTGGTTATACAGCCCTTTATACTAGTTTTCATTTATGATTCATTTTTAAAGTTTTTATTTTATTTTAAGAAATTTCTAAATTTTGTTTTATTTGTTATGTTTTTAGGGCCTTTTGGGCCTATACATTACTAAGCCAAGCTAGTTTACTTTGACTCGGTAGGGGGCTGAGTAACTCCGCTAGCAACATAACATTGTTCTCAACTATAGATGGAAACCTGCTTTCAAAAATTGTAATATGTAATATGATCAGACGGTAACCCCCCACCCTTCAACCCTAAAAACCCAAACAAAAGAAAGAAAAGAAAAAGGAGGACTTACTTGAGTTTGGGCGGATAAGTTTCCAATCACAATTCTCACAAGATCATCACTGGGCTTTGATAGTTGTAGTTTCGAATTGCCTTGGAAAACTGCCTTGTAATCAGTGATTCCGATGCTGATGCAATAAACAGCATTGGAGAATATTTCTTTAGACTTCACACTCCCCAATTTTCTTTTGAGCTTTTCTTGAAATTCGACGAATAGATTAACTTGCACTTCCAGGGCCAATGTCTGAAAATTTTATGAAATAATCATTTGAAAATTTATGTTGCATCTTTCACTAAATCCAACACAATGAATTACGCACTAGGCATTATTTTAGTTGTCCTTTTTTTAGTAACCCAAGTATAATTGCAATCAACTTAGAATCGATAAGACACCAGAAAATGAGTCTTAGGAAACACACACGTAGGGGTGACAATGGGCCGGGCTGCCCTTGGCATTAGCTGGGCCACCCCAATCCTTAGCCAGGCTCGGTCCTGACCCTTCCAAAAAAGCCCTGGCCCAAGCCCCAGCCCTAGCCCTATCATGGCTGGGCTGGATTGGGTCTCAACCAAATAAAATCGAAAAAAAAAAAAAAAAGGTTAGGCCTTGCTGAAGTGGATCGGCCTTGGCCTAGACCCAGCTCGCCCCTACCCTCGACCTACCGTTGCCTGGCCCTGGCCTGGCCGTCATGCCACATTCTATGACCTAAATCGTAGTTAAGGTTGGGCTGACGGGACCGGGCCATGCCACCTTGCCCACTGCCACCTCTACACACAATCAATAGAGAGGAGAGAAGCATGCAAAGAGTGCACATGATTTTTAGAAAGTATAGCAATGAGATAAATGCCATTTTTAATCCCTAAGGACATATCTTTCCTGTAGTTCAATCCAAAAAAATGAGAAAAAAAAATGATAGGTGATGTAAACCAACAGCATTGAAAAGATTTAAAAATAATTGAAAAACAAAAATTTCTGAGGTTGAATTACCTTTCCTTTGTGTGTTGCCTCAAGGATTCCTGCACCAGCTGATGCAAAGTTGGCTCCATAAGAAAGGTCCGCATGAGGCTTCAAATATGGTGGGATAAGTGGTAGGTTTGCAAGCTCAGCTACGATTTTTGTAAACATAAAGAAAAAAGATATTCTTACATAACTCAATTTTTCTAAAAAGAGATATATTATATTTCCCTTTTAGGAGAAACAACTTCTTTTCCATTATGCTACATAAGCCAAACTTTTAGTACTAAAAAACAATGGTATCATCTTTTCCAATTTATTGTAAAACCTTCCTTTAGATATTTAACCTTGTAAAGATTCATGAGAATATGATTTAGAACTATGCATTTTTTTTTATTTTTTTATGGTGTTTAGAGCTGTGCATTTTATGTAATGCAATGCATTTTGTTTCAAATTACCCAAAAAAAATGCATTTTGTTTAAAAAATAAAGAGAGTTTCCTTTCATAAGTTTTTTTCACAATGTTATGTAATAACTAATTCTATATTATTGATGTTTGGCTCCAAATATGGTGGGATAAGTGGTAGGTTTGCAAGCTCAACTACAATTTTTGTAAACAAAAAGAAAAAAGATATTCTTACACCACTTAATTTTTCTAAAAAGAGATATATTATATCCCCCTTTTAGGAGAAACAACTTCTTTTCCACTATGCTACATAAGCCAAACTTTCAGTACTAAAGAAAATGGTATCATCTTTTCCAATTTATTGTAAAACCTTCTTTTAGATATTTAACCTTGTAAAGATTCATGAGAATATGATTTAGAACTATGCATTTTTTTTTGGTGTTTAGAACTGTGCATTTTATGTAATGCAATGCATTTTGTTTCAAATTACCCAAAAAAAACTGCATTTTGTTTCAAAAATAAAGAGAGTTTCCTTTCATAAGTTTTTTTTCAAAATGTTATGTAAAAACTAAGTAATTATATATTATTGATGTTTCCAAAAAATAGGGATTTAACCTCATGGGATGTTCACATAGGCATTAGTGGTTTTTTTATTTAAAAAAGAAATACTTGATTTGTTTTATGGAATAATAGTAAAGCAAACAATAACCACACAACTACGGATTTCGTATTACTACAATTGCTAGAATGTAAAGCTACCCATGATCGAGTATCCATAACACCAAATATTTGCACTATGCACTTGTAATTAGGGGCATTCTCTAGGGGTGAGATTGGGTCAGATCGGGTTCGGATCTGGGTGGATCCAGTTCTAGATCCAGATCTAAATAGTATACATTGCATTTGGATCTGAATAGTATACATCAGATCTAGATCCAGATTCGGAATCAGATTACTATATATATATATACTATTTAAAATATATTTATAAAATAAAAATATCCTATTTAAAAAAGCTGGTTTGGATCCGGATCTAGATCTAGATCCAGATCAGATCCACTTGCACCTGGATCCGCATTTCAATTCAGTCCTAGGGTCCGGATCTGGATTTGGGATCCAAATTTGAGATCCATACACGGATCCAAATAGGGTCCAAATTCCTAATTTCAGATCCGGATCGGATCAATTCTCACCCATAGCATTCTCATAATTACCAATAGCTTCTTGTCATTAAAAAAGAATAAGATAATTCAAGATTTTGACTTAGGTTTGATTCGGCGAGGTGAGACCACGTAGGTTAGGCCGAGTAATACAATCGTTTGATGTTGTTTTTAGGGTATTTTCATTGTGTTTTCTGTACTTCATGCAATTATAGACTCATAGGAATGACTCTTTCCTATTTACCATATGGAAAAAGTTTATATAAGTGCAAGGCTCTAAATAATCAAATTAAAGCACACTTAAAAAATGTCACTAAAAGATGTTTCGACTCGAAAAAAGTTTCAAATTGATCATCTCGACCTCGAGATGCATAGACATGAGAAAAAAAATAGATTTCAAGTTTTGGAAATACTGCATCTAAGAATGCATTTTTGGACCGTCAATTTTCAAATATTTTAAGTTTTTATAGATCTACTTGATCTACACTATTTTTTAAGCTTTAAATTTTATGACTTGAGATGAAAATATATGCCAAAGTTATCACAATGATTTCCAATATTGAAACCACTATTTGAAGGTGTGCTTTACTATGATTGTTTAGAGCCTCGACCTTATACAAACGACACCCTTATCATATTTTCTTTATCTATCAATGAGTGCCAAAATTAGGATGCACCTAAAAAATCCATCGGAAAAGGTAGTTTTAATGTTGAAAAACCATTTGATTGATCATTTCAACATCGAGAGGTATGACCATGAAAAATAAAAAGATTTTAAGTCTAAAAAATAGTGCATTTTACAACATATTATCTACACCGTCTATTTTCAATATTTTCATATTTTAATAGGTCTACTTGATTTTAACCATTTTTGAAATTTAAAATTTTATAATTAGATATAAAAATAGATTTTGAGATAATCCTAAGAACATTTTACATTAAAATTATATACCATGATAAACTTGGAAGGTGCACCTTACCAATACAGCTACGGATGCATCCGTATGCCAACTGCACCCTAAAAATAATACCGCCCACATCTCAATCCCACCATGTACCTTGTGAAAATTAACTCAATAAATGAATCAACCTAAGAATTAATAGGGATTACTAAAATTATAGTAGGTTGTATTGTCCAAAACCCTAAAAATTGGAGGTCTAAGCCCAAACATTAATTATAGAAGAGGTCCCAAAAAAATACAAGTAAAAAAGAAAAAACCAAAATAATGTGCGGAGGGCATTCTCTAGAGAGTGGGTACAGAGGTATGAGAGCCCTTAGCAACTGCCCTGATACCTACACGAATTTCAAAACCGTATATAGTAATACTAAAAGGGTGTGTTATACCGTTGCAAGCTTAAACAATCCAATTCAGGTGCACCTCCAAAATTATCATAAAATGTAATTTTGATATAAAAAATTCCTAGGATTATATGAAAATCTATTTCTATATCTAATTATACAATTGTAAACTCCAAAAATAGTAGAAATCAAGTAGATCTATAAATATGTGAAAATCTTGAAAATGGACGGTCTAGATAATGCGTTGCAAGATTCACTATTTTTGGGACACAAAATCTTCTTTTTTTCCATATGTATACATCTCGATGTCGAGATGATCAATTAGAAGGTTTTTCAACATTAAAACAACATTTTCGGATGAGTGCATCTATAATTCTACATTTTACGGTTGCAACCCTATATAAACTTTTCCATACTAAAATCCATACAGATGCAAAAAAAAAATAAAAAAAAATAAAAATACATTCTTCTACAATGCCTAATTAATCTGAAAGCCAAATATCATTTATGCTTAACCCATTAACCTCAAATGCATAGTCAAAAGAACAGTTTAACACATAGGTTCTTATATAGAGCTAATAACAGGTTGAATTCCGAAAAACCTTGGGGCATAAGATAAGAGCTTAAACCTGAATTTAAGCATCTGAGGACAGATAAGATCCGTGTTTTCTCAAAATTTCAAAGATAAAGAAATGGAAGAAGACTGAATACCAATGAAATCAGTTACAACTTTGCCATCTGAGAAACGTCCGGTTGGTTTGCCAAAGAATTCAGCCGCATTTTCACCGTAAGGGAAGAAATTGGCACCTGATTCCTTGGTGAAGTTTAAGTACTTATTGGTTCCGGTGTCCACTGTTGAATCTCCAAACACAAAAAAATTGATCATTTTTGCATAGGCACTCCGGCCCAATACTAAGAAAGCATACAGTAGTACTACACATATGCTGGAAAAAGCCTTCCCCATTAGTAAAACTAAACTTAAACAAGTCCTAAAGAAAGGGAAAACAACTCTTTATAAGTTCCACCTTCAAAATAATCCATCATATTTTGGTATTATATAGGACTCTGGCTTTCCCCATGACTATTACATGGGGAAAGAGTGCACCATGACTGTAGTTTTCATGCCCATTAGTTTCCCAACCCCTTTTCAGCCGCAAGTAAAACATGGTATCATTTTTATAATATTGATGGTACACACTAATGTTTACATTAATTTTTTACACAAATCACAATAAGCTGTGGCCATTAGATACAAAATCAAGCGGCCGAGGGATTTGCTATCCACCATACTCAAAAAGGAAGGGAACCCTTTTTGGCCAGACAAAAGCAACGTGTTTCACGCGCTAGTTTTGGAATTTTCAAAAGATATTATCCATGGGTGCCTCTAATAAATCTTGGTGTATTTTAGTATATGTATCCAAATTCCACTCTTAATTTGCTCGAGAAAAATAGCATTTCAAAATTGAATAAAGAGGGTCCAATTTTTGGTGCATGAGATTCAATTGTTGAATAACTTAGAATCTAATAATTCTTTAATGGAAAATTACCAAAAGCATCGTTATATTTTTCAAAAAATTTAAAAATACTATTTTTAAAAATTACACTTATACTAAACAACATTTTTTAACCCTAGCTACCGTTCAAAGCTCAAGTAGGGCCGTGATTACCATGGGAAACATCACATTAGGTAATCACATTAGGTAATAGGGCATTGTGAATATGACAAATATTTAGTGGGTATAGATGTAATTTTAAATTTTTGATATTTTGTATTTAGAAAAGGGAAAAGTTCATATAAAGTTGCAACTTTAAAATGTAGAACTATGGATGCACCTCAAAAATCTATTGGAAAATATTGTTTTAATATTGAAAAACCCTCTAATTGATCATCTCGGTATCGAGATGAATGACTATGGATAAAAAAAAAAAGGATTTTGAGTCTTAGAAATGCTGCATCTTACAACACATTATCTAGACCGTACATTTTCAAGATTTCCATATATTTATAGATGTACTTGATTTTAATCATTTTTGGAGTTTAAAATTTTATAATTAGATATAAAAATAGATTTTGAGATAATCTTAAGAATATTTTACATCAAAATTATATATTATGATAAAATTTGAAGGTATGCCTTAAATGGATTGTTTAAGGTTGCAACCTTATGGAAACCGCACCCTTTATAAAATCATGTGGTAATTAGCATGGGAACCCAAATTTTTTTTTGATAGTTTCTCTTCTTTATAAAATCATGTGGTAATTAGCATGGGAACCCAAAATTTTTTTTGGTAGTTTCTCTTCTTTATAAAATCATGTGGTAAATTGCAAATCTAAGAAGCCCGTACGAGGGAGTAAGTGTATAGCCTGTAAGACCGTACCATATACACTCGAATAATCGATACCACCTGATTCGGACGTTTCCTTTGAGCTTTATACAATGACAAATCCAATGAGCCGTACCACCTGATTCCCACGTCTCCTTTGAGCGTCCTTTTCTGTCGACTTATTTAAAACGACTTGGAAAAACGTCATTCGTTCGCTACAGGAGCTCAATACGGGATTACATAAAGGTCGACCCGGGCACGACTTCTCAGTCGATGCCCGAGTGCAAACTTTAGCCTAGTCTAAGTAAGTCGACTTCGTGTTGGGTTCACGTGGATTTTAAAGGTTTTATAAGTGTTTGTAAAATGAAATGATAGAATGAAACATGAATTCAGTGGGAGTGTGGTCCTTTGTAGACCATATTAAGCAAACGATGTTTGTAGATATCAGATTGTGCTTGACGATCTTGACCAGTCAGTTGAAAAAAACCCATATTATCTGGGCATAAAGAACAAACCGAGAAGAGTTCAAATGGGTTAGCCCTTGATGAGGTCGAAGAATATACCTAGATGAGTGAGCCGAGGGACTGTGTAACCCTTGTATGTGATGGTGGCTTACAGAGACGGGGGCCAAAACCTCATCTGTGCGCCATCACACGGCATGCTTATCGATAAATTGTTCGAGAAAGCTAAAAATCCACCTTTAGGGTGAAGCGTATGCATGTGCGAGAGATACCTCTATGCACCATATGAACTATAGTCCCATCAGATCTAGGTGACCTTGACTCGTCTCTAGGGGAGGACCTGAAATCCATAGACTAGGATTGCGATCTCTTGGCTTATCGGCCGGACTTTGGTAACCCGCTAATGAGCCCCTGCTTGAATTGTGGGTCATGAGAAACATTGGGTCGATCTGATAAAGCAAGTATGGTCTGTAGTCCACAGTTGAAGGTGGAGTGCCCCATGATTTAATATTCCTAAACCATATAGATCATTTTCCCATCAAATTAATTTAATTGTGTTTGTTTTATGATGAAAATTATTTTAAGATTATTATTTGAATTTTTTATGAACCCTGGATATTTTATTTTTAATTTTTTTTATTTATAAAATTAAAGATATTGATTTTACAATTGTTTAAATATTCAAATAATATTCTAAAATCTTTTTATTAATTTTCAATATATAAAAATATCATGGGGGCCTATGAGTGCCTCCCTTGGGTGGCACGCCCCACCCTTATTCTCTTTTTTATTTTTTGGTGATATGGCATGCAGCTATATGGTTGGAAGATATTGACTTGGTATATCTTTGAAAGATTTTGTGGAAAGATTGAGTATATTTGTGCTATTTTATGGTATGCACAATATTTTGATTAGATTTAATTTATTTAATTTTTATTGATGAAAAAATGGTTTAGGAAAATGATATAATGATTCATGTACCTTCCAATGTTGATGGCCCATCTATGAAATGGATGGCTCAGATCTCTCATCCCACAAGTCACTCTTGATCGACGATCTATGTTCAATCTCACAAGAAGAGGTAAGCCAAAAAAAACCCTAAGAAATCCTAATTTTATTCCAAGCCTATAAAAAGGGACCGTCTCTACCAAAAAATCTCTACACCTTATCTTTCTATCTTTCTTAAGAAAGTTGATCTCTTTCATGTTTTATCTCTCTCTCCCACATTGTGAAAGAACCTAAGGGTTTGGGTTATGAAGTTCTTCTCTCCTATCTCTCAAATATGAAATTATAGCTAAGGGTTTTAGGGTTTAACAAAAAGAGAATCCATCTCTCTAAAACTAGATTGCTAAGAGAATTCACATAGAATTTGAGTTTGTGATAAAAGAGATTCATGTTCCATTAGTGTGGATTGGCCGAAATTTGCTTTTTCAGTTCGAGATTGAAGCTAGACCGTTGATCCCGCATCATCGGATGGTGGTGACTCGGAATGCGGTATAATAAGCCCGGTTGAGGTAATCTCCGACACTCTTTGTTTTGTTTATTGCAATCTTATCTTTTATTCTCAAGCATAGTGCATAGTTGTTTCAATGACATCAAGTTGTTAAGATCTTGGTTTTATTGTTATGCTAATTTTATTTTGAAATTTATTTTATTATAATAAAGACTACATGTAAGTGATCTTTTGCCAAAAAAAAGAGGTGAAAAAAAAAAAAATGTATTCCCCGGTAAAAGATCGCCTATGTCTTTCTTTCACCTCAGTCATGCCGAGTAGAGTAGCAATAAAAAAAAAGGTTAAAAATTAGAAAAAATAAAAAACCTAAAAAAAGAGGAAGAAATGTATGTGTAAGTACCATTAAGCAAAGCATTTTAAAATGAGGTTAAAGTTATTAAAAAATAGGTTTTAAAAAAAGAAAATGGTTTGATCGGGCTACAGCCCTATCAAAATAAATAAAGCCCCATTTTCTAATTCATCAAAAATTACAATTCAAGTATTGGAAAACCTTTACATCGATAGTCTCGGCTTGAACATATTAGTTAGTGAAAAAAAAAAAGGATTTTAAGCTCTAAAAAAGGTACATATTGTAATAAATTATCTAGACCGCCAATTTCAACCTAAAATGAAGTGTTTCTAGATCCGCAAGATCTGTACCACTTTTTGAGTTTCAAAATTTATTATCGGTGTTGAAAATTGATTTAGACACATTATGGAGATTTCCATTGTTGAATTTCTAAATGAGGATTTGAGGTGAGGCTCGATTTTGTTTTTATAAAGCCTAGGCCCTACAGAAACTTCACCTTTTTAAATATGTTACTATGGGGGTATTTTTGAAGGAAAAAGTTTATATAAAGCCAAGGCTCTAAACAATCAAATTAGGGCCCACTTAAAAAATTTCATGAGAAGAGGTTGTTTTGATACCCAAATATTCTCAAATTGATCATCTCGACGTCAAGATGCATCGACATGAAAAAAAAAATGAATTTCAAGTTTTGGAAATAGTGCTGTCTGTTTTCAAGATTTACTAGTTTTCATAGATCTGCTTGATGTACACTATTTTTTAAACTTTAAATTTTATAATTAAATATGATAATATATTTTACGAAATTCTGCTGTAAAGCTTATAGATAGCTAGAGAGATGAACAATGGTTCTGAGATTTTTCTATGTGTTCTGTAATCGATGAATGAGCCCTTTTTATGACAAGTTTTGCATCCAATGGTCTAGATTTCTCTTTATCCATGTCAATAGCTAAATCTTTTTTTTTTCATTCCCTCTCTTACCCCAAAGAAAAAAAAAGTTTGATTTAATGTGACCGTTAGAATATCATTGATGGGTGGTTAAGATAAGAAAAAGAGAATGAAATGTATAGTATAATATAATTAAATTGAATTAAATGTACCTAAAAAATAGAAGGTAATAGAGATACCATAAACACTAAGGTAGTCATGATGCCTTAGTGGCCATACTCTAACAGCTTTCACAAAGATTATCAATAGTGAAACCATATTTATTGATGCTATTTTAAGGTGGGCTCTAATTTGATTGTTTAGAGCCTCGACTATGTACAAACTGCACCCATTTTTCAAATAATCCAAAAAAATAGAAAAAATGTGAAATAAGTATTTATGACCAAAAGAATTTTTAATCTTTGTTAAAAAGGTGCGGTATGTATGGAGCCTAGGCTCTAAACAATCAAATTAGAGCCTACCTTTAAATGGTGTCGAGAAATATGATTTCAATATTGGAAATCTTTGTGATAGCCTTAAAATATATTTTTATTGCTATTTATAAAGTTTAAAGCTTAAAAAATACTATAGATCGACAGATCTATGAAAACTTGAAA